CCCCCGCTTTTTCAGTTCTCGAGTTGGAAGTGGGTGACAAAAAGTACGAACACACACACACACACAAATATATGCAAGAACGCATAAAGCACGTTCGCACCACCAAACCTGTCGTGTTCCATCCAACGATTCAATTTAACCAACTTTTGACGGAACTCCCACAACGCACCACAGCTCTTATGGACTTTGAATTGGAGTATACTCACGCACTGCCATTTGGGTTAGTTATATTTTAATGTCCCATTCTCAAACATTGCTCTCAAATGAAACCGTTCATCTCAGTTTTAATCCGCTGTGCAGTGAATGACGCTTGAAGCGACAAAATATTTATTCGAAGAAATTCAGCCTATCAAAAGACCGATAGTATTCGCATTGACAATTACACGCAGAAGTCGCGCAATAAGAAGTCGTCAAAGAAGAATATTCGAACGCAATACGGCACTCCGAAAACATTGAGAAACCAGGACAATATGACAACAATGTTCAGAGCGACCCGCAACATTTCAAAAAGCAAAAATAAGTAATAAGCCCCCAAAGTAAGCAATAAATAAGTAGTTTGGACTTTATGTAACCAGACCTAACCGGGCGCTGACTGCGGCTAATGGTTAAAATCCTCACAAGGCGCAGTTCCAGGGAACCACTGCGCGTACAGCCTTCAAAAATTCGCGGTGATTTATGCCCCTCTAAGAATTTCATGGCGTCGTGAAGAATATATATCACTTGTAACTAGAAAGACAAAGAAAGCAAAAAAACCGAATGCCAGGACCACTACTACGACAACAGCCCATGATGATACAAGTTTGGTTGCAGCAACTGCGGAAAGGTTACTAGCCAAATCGACAATGCACTGCTTATAATAAATTCAAGGCAACTAAAAAAAGCGAGAAGCTTGAGTACAAAATTCGCGCTATATCGATGAAAATAACGAGTAACACACTCCTGCACGGGCACATTTAACTAGAACAACTGTGCTATAGCTATCGAATATTAGAACAAAGATGAAATATGAATAGAAATAAGACCCGAGAGAAGGGAAAATTAGCAGTGTTGCGGTATTAAGACGTATATGACTTAATGGACCGAAACGTCTTATTTCATTCTTGCCTTCCATTTTCATTTTGTTCTTCCTTTTTGAATTCTATTACGCCTTCACCAACTCGGTTTCTAGGATCAACCTGGATGCTACAATCGGCTCAGCACATGCAGAAGTGTCAATGATAGCTGGTACGAGAATGAAGAG